TGCGAGGAGAAGTTATTCCTGAACATGAGTTTGCAACGGGACCAGTGTGTCTTGATGATGAGAATGAATTCCCTCCTGTGAGCATTAGGAACCCATAACCGGGTGGTTCAGTCTGTGTGATTAGAAGGAAACGCTAGCCTCATACGAGAGGCGGAGTCCCTTTCCCTGTTTTCTAGTCTATAACAACTAATCCTCTGCTCTAGTATTCAGAAAACCGTAAGATGTTTGTTATACTGTGTGCTTCAAATCCTGCAGACCAGCCTTTAGGTGCCGAGCTAAACCCTGACAGCATTAGAGTCACTGAATACTAATCCAGGGAGTCTTGGTGGCCTCCTCTCCAGCCAGAGGCCTGGGATCACTTCCTTTGCTTCTGTAGCACTGACTTTGCTGCCTGGTAGGCAGGAACATGTGCCTTATGTAACACTTATTTTCCTGAGGCTTCTATGGATGCTTTTGCAGAATGCTGCCTTCCTTGTGCTGGAGGGGATGGTTTCAGAGGGCTGTGCTGTGTGTTCAGGACTCTGAGCTGAGTTGCTGCGCTCTGTGGGCGAGCTTGACCCTCACCTGCAGCTCTGGCTGGGCAGACCTGCACCTCTCCAGCAGCTGCAGACACTCATTAAGAAACAACTGGCGGGGGTGCCGGGCACCCTGGTTCACACCTGTAATCCTAGTACTTTGAGAGGCTGAGGCGGGCAGATCATGAGGTCAGGAGTTCGAGACCAGCCTGGCCAATATGGAAATCCCCGTCTCTACTAAAAATACAAAAATTAGCCAGGTGTGGTGGCACGTGCCTGTAGTCCTGTAGTACCAGCTACTTGGGAGTCTGAGGTAGAAGAATTGATTGAATCTAGGAGGGGGAATTTGCAGCGAGCTAAGATCATGCCACTGCACTCCACCTTGGACAACAAGAGCGAAACTCTGCGTCTCAAAAAAAAAAAAAAAAGAAAAAAGAAAAGAAAGAAAGAAAGACAACTGGCTGAGCGCAGTGGCTCATGCCTATAATCCCAGCACTTTGGGAGGCCAAGGCTGGAGGATTGCTTGAGCCCAGGCAGGAGTTAGATACCAGCCTGGACAACATGACAAAACTCCATCTCCACCAAAAAAAAAAAAAAAAAAAAAGCAAATCAGCCAGCATGGTGGCGTGTGTGTAGTCCCAGCTACTCAGGAGGCTGAGATGGTAGGATCACCTGAGCCTGGGAGGTCGAGGCTACAGTGAGCTATAATTGTGCCACTGCACTGCAGCCTGGGTGAAAGAGTGAGACCCTATCTCAAAAAGAAAAGAAAAACAATTGTGTGCTCTGTGGAGGGTGTGACGTACAGGGTGAGAGCTTACCCAAGCACCTTTAGCTAGGTTTCCCAGCAACATGCTCAGGCTGTTCCCACAGCTAGGGCCCTTGGGACTGGCTGGGTGCTGGGTGTGGCTTCTTCCAGCACCTGCAACTAAAAAGATTCTCTCCTGGGTGGCTTCCAGGGCTTCCTTAACTTCTGATTCTCCAAGCTCCCATCTGGAATAACACACAGACCGTCCTTGGGAGCTTCCATCAGAAAGCATCCCCGACAGTCAACCTGAAATCATTTCGATATAGAAGTAGTGATTTGTTTTGTTTTTGAGATGGAGTCTTGCTCTGTCACCCAGGCTGGAGTGCAGTGGTGTGATCTCAGCTCACTGCAACCTCCATCTCCTGTGTTCAAGCGATTGCCCTGCCTCAGCCTCCAGAGTAACTGGGACTATAGGTGTGCACCACCACACCCAACTAATATTTTGTATTTTTAGTAGAGACAGATTTTTCACCATGTTGGTCATGCTGGTCTCGAACTCCTGACCTCAAGTGATCCACCTGCCTCGGTCTCCTCTAATCTCAGCAGGCCTCCTGTAATCTCGGCCTGTTGGGATTACAGGCGTGAGCCACCACGCCCAGCCGGAAGTAGTGTTTGGGCCAAGACTTGAAATATCAACTCCTAGAGCCAGAGAGGAGCTGCCATTTGGGCACTGAAGCAATGCCCAGGAGGCTTAATTATGGAAATTTCTCCTGCTCATTGTTATGTGTCAGTTGAGATTCCAATTGTAAAAGGATGGAGTGCAGGTCTTGCTTCTTTCTCCCACAGATCTGTGGAACCATCTAGTGAGCAAATTTGGCTTAGGAAACAAAGCTGCGGTGGGGGCCCTCCGTGCAGGGCCGAGAGGTGTTTGCGATTTCCCACAATGGCTCTGTGGATCATAGCTTGAGCTTTTACATTTCTGGCTTTCAATAGGCAGGTTGTCAGAGACATGGCCGGCAAGTGAAGTTTCTACTGCAGTGGCAGAGAGCAGTTGTTCCTAAAAATACTAATTATAGGCCGGGCGCGGTGGCTCACGCCTGTAATCCCAGCACTTTGGGAAGCCGAGGCGGGTGGATCACGAGGTCAAGAGATGGAGACCATCCTTGTCAACATGGTGAAACCCCGTCTCTACTAAAAATACAAAAAATTAGCTGGGCATGGTGGCGCGTGCCTGTAATCCCAGCTACTCAGGAGGCTGAGGCAGGAGAATTGCCTGAGCCCAGGAGGCGGAGATTGCGGTGAGCCGGGATCGCGCCATTGCACTCCAGCCTGGGTAACAAGAGCGAAACTCCATCTCAAAAATAATAATAATTATTATTATTATAGGCTGGGTGCAGTGGCTCATGCCTGTAATCCCAGTACTTTGGAAGGCCAAGGCAGGATCATGAGATCAGGAGATCGAGACCATTCTGGCTGACATGGTGAAACCCCATCTCTACTAAAAATACAAATAATTAGTCAGGCTTGGTGGTACGTGTCTGTAGTACCAGCTACTCAGGAGGCTGAGATAGGAGAATCGCTTGAACCTGGGAGGCAGAGATTGCAGTGAGCCAAGATTGTGCCACTGCACTCCAGCCTGGGCAACAGAGTGAGACTCCATCTCAAAAAAAAATACACACACACACACACGTATGTATATATATATATATATACACACACATACATACATACATACATACACTAATTATAAACTTCAAAACATCTGTTGGCATGCTTCCTAACTATAAACCAGTTGTTTTGCCTTTGGGTTCTCATAGCCCCAGCTGGCCTTAAAGGGAGTTTTCCTGTACCCTCAAAAGGCAGTGGTTATTTACTTGAAGTTGAGTCTTCCAGGAACCAGGGCACTCTAGGTCAGACACTGTGGGGACAAATGTGACTATTCTACTCTGTCAGGGTTTGGAGCATCCAGACACTCACTAGGTTCCATTTCACAAACTTTGGTAAAAGTCTGTGACTACTATAAAAGATTATTAGATTCTTAATTGTTCTTAATTCTTAATCACAGCAAACCCTGCAACCTCTTATATTTACAGAATTGGGATACTTTGGATATTGGCAGTTAGGAGGTAGTCCCTTGCCAAAGAAAACGTGTATCAAATAATAGGTACCTTGTGTAGATTGTCTGTTTGGGGTAAAAAGGAAAAGGGGAGGCACTTAATTAAAGAACTAGTGTGAAAGTTTGCCCTGAGGCATGTGTGCCCATTTGGTGCCAGGAAGCTGGGCATGAGAGTTGTTTCTTATCCCTCCGATGGACCAAATGAGTGAAAGCTGGTTGAAATTGCATCAGGAATTCTTATTTATACACAAGAAATACTTCCTGCCCGTGAGTGGTCACCAAACAAGGTCCCTAGAATGCGTGTTATATCCTCGTGAGTGTCAGGCAGCCACTGTGTGCAGGGCTGGGTGTCATGGCAGCCACCAACCTGTCAGCTTGCCCTCCAGCCTGCAGGTAGATGGTGATAGCAGGCAAGCTTCTCCTTCTCACCACGTAAGGACCAGAGGCATGTGTGCTCCTAGGGTGTTCTGTCAACATGGACCATCTCAGTCATGCCTGAATTGACAGAAATGTCCAATGAGGGATACTGGAGAACTTCCTCTTTGTCTTTACTCTAGATTGTCATGCTGCTGCCTTAAGAATGCAGGCCAGGCCAGGCACGGTGGCTCACGCCTGTAATCCCAGCACTGTGGGAGGCCAAGGCAGGCGGATCACGAGGTCAGGAGTTTGAGATCAGCCTGGCCAACATGGTGAAACTCCATCTCTACTAAAGATACAAAAAATTAGCAAGGCATGATGGTATGCACCTGTAATCCCAGGTACTCAGGAGGCTTAGGCAGGAGAGTTGTTGTCATCACTAGTGATCTTTTTAGAACATATACTGACATTTCCCTGCATAGGCTCATGCTTGCCTTCTTGGGACTTTCTTTTGCTCCGAGAGCAATGAAAGAAAAGAGACCTGATCATTTCTGGTACCTTAGAAAGCTGTTAGATTCAGAAGGATGAGAAGCTTTTGTTTCAGGAACAAGCCAACCTGTACAAGTCTGTGTATTTTGTGAGACTAGTCCCAGTCTTGTGAGCAAGAGTAAGAAAATAAGGCCCAAGGGTATAAACTGAGTTTTTGGGGTTTTTTTTGAGACAGAATCTCACTGTCCTTCAGGCTGGAGTGTGTTGGCACAATCTCCGCTCACTGCAACCTCCACCTCCCAGGTTCAAGTGATTCTCCTGTCTTAGCTTCCCAAGTAGCTGGGATTTCAGGCATGCCACCATGCCCAGCTAATTTTTGTATTTTTAGTAGAGACATGGTTTCACTATGTTGGCCAGGCTGGTCTCAAACTCCTTACCTCAGGTGATCTGCCCACCTCAGCCTCCTAAAGTGCTGTGATTACAGGCATGAGGCTGAACTTTTTTTTTTTGAGGTGGAGACTCACTATCTCCAGGCTGGAGTACAGTGACATGATCTCAGCTCACTGCAACCTCCACCTCCCAGGTTCAAGCGATTCTCCTGCCTCAGCCTCCTAAGTATCTGGGACTACAGGCTTGCACTGCCATGCCTAGCTAATTTTTGTATTTTTAGTAGTAGATGTGGTTTCACCATGTTGGCCAGGATGGTCTCTATCTCTTGACCTCGTGTTCCACCTGTCTTGGCCTCCCAAAGTGCTGGGATTACAGGCATGAGACACCATGACCAACCTAAACTGACTTTTTAATAGTGATTGAGCAGTCCATGTTTACAAGTAAGATAAGCCTTTAAAAAATTTATACATATAAATACACACACTCACACAGACATTTTTGTACAGTCAGTATTTTCTAGAAATGTGTCATACTTGTCTAAACCTAAAGAAGCTGCATGAGTGTTCTGTGGCCATGAGCGAGGTCAGACAGAAAAACTTGGCAGTGCCCAGCCTCCCCCTGCTCACTTGACATGGGCACAGACCTGTTGATAATGCACCTGCCTACCAGCCTCTTTCTGAGAAGGTAAGGCCATTCTGTTTTGATTTTGGTAGATAATCTTGTGCCGTGGAAATCAGAAGGGCAAAACGAAGCAGTCATGATGAGAAGCACACCTCAGAAATCAGGACATCCCCTATCAGGTGGTTTTGGAGAAAAGAAGGAAGGTGGAAGAATGGAGTGCAATTGTGTGAGCAGAAAGGGGGGCAGGAATCCCGGGTGCTACACTGCTTAAACCACAGGACGTGGTTAACTCCTCACCAAGCTTCCCACAACCCTGGTTGCCAGTGGGCATGGGAGATATCGTATATACATTATGCTATCTTAATATGTTCCAACCACAGTGTAAATGCTGATTAACCATATTGGTATATAACCGGAATTTTATATTAAAAGGGGCCTCCTTTTTAAATATATGCCATGTAAAGAATGTACTTATAGGAACATATCTTTGAATTGTATTTTGTGTATATTACATACTTAGAGAGACTATTTTAGCCAAGCAAAGTCTTTATTTTGCTGTGACTGAAATCATTTATTACTTGGGAGTCCCATTTTGGACACTAATAATAAAATCATGGCAATGCATTTTTGAGGTTTTTACATTTTATTTTATTTCCTCATGGTTTTAGGGATCAGGAAGAACTCTTTAACATCTTTTAAATGCAATATTTTCACCCTTAGAAGGAGAAGAGACGGATCGGGCCACAGTCTTATCCATGGACTCGTCTGCTCTGAGATCTGGAAAAAGGCCTAACTTTGTCTGGTCTAAATCTATGCTCTTCAAGGCATTGTTTGCTAGAAATGTAAGATCTCAGGCTCCACTTGAGACCTACTGAGACAGAATCTGGATTCTTATAAGATCCCAGCTGATTTGTTTGCATATTAAAGATGGAAACCAATGAGTACACTGGTTTGCGGAAGGAAAAAAATATAGAGATGCTCTGTCCCAGATACTAATTAGAATGGATTCATGCCAAAACGACCAGAGAAACAAGGAAACTGAAATGTATTGAATATCTGCTCTATGTCAGGTAACACACCAGGCATTTTCACATATGCCTTTATTTAACTCTCAAAATGAACTTGTAAGTAAGTTAGGTTAAATAATTGCCCAAGTTCTACAGCCGGAGCTGGCACCTGGGTCTGACTCCAAAGCCCATATGCTTCCCATTAGGGCACACTCCCTGCCCAGAGCCAGTGCAGTTCAGCTGCTCCCTCAGGCTGGCGTGGAGGAGAGACACAATACTGAAGGGATACGTAAGGTGGTGCATGCAAAACTAAATTCCAAGACTAAACTAAAGTGTGTGTTTGTAAAGAGGGTAAAAATTGGAAGCAAACTTGCCTGTCGAATTTCCAGATATTCCTCCTTATGGAATAACAATTGGTCTGTTATGTGGCTTGGCAGCGGCAGGCAATATGGTAGGGATTACAGCAGGGCGTTACTGAAGGGTCTAGAGTGTAGTCTGCTCTGGAGATGCTGTCATTGGCAATGTCTTGAAGGATGTCTGCAAGAACCTTTCTGACCTTGGGCAGCACAGCCCGGTACTCTGTACCACCTCTTTCTAGAGGCATTGCTTCGGCGATATCGTCTTCCAGGTTGAAAATAAGAGGAAACTTATGCTGCATCTCAGGCCCGGTGCTCCCATCACATGCTCTGGCTCCACCTAGAGAGGGAATGACAACAAACACCTCACTAACCCTGACAGTTACCCAATGTTGTAAAGACGAGAGCTGCAGGTGATTATACATTAATTCAAACGTACCAGATAACCAAATGTTCCAGTGATGGCTCTCTCTGTCAAAGAAATTACCTTGAGAATCTATTTGCTCCTTCCAATGATGATCATGTGGTCAAAAATGTTTTGTTTTATTTTCATTTCTGTTTCTGTTTTTGTTTTTTGAGCCAGGATCTGGCTCTGTTGCCCAGGCTGGAGTGTAGTAGCATGATCCTAGCTCACTGCAGCCTCAACCTTTTTAAGCTCAAGCAATCCTCCCACCTCAGCCTCCCAAGTAGCTGAGGCTACAGGAATGCACCACCATGACCAGCTTTTTTTTTTTGGAGACAGGGTCTATGTTGCTCAAGCTGGTCTCGAACTCCTGGCCTCAAGAAATCCTCCTGTCCCAGCCTCCCAAAACGCTGGGGTTGTCAGCAGGAGCCACTGCGCCCAAAGTGAAATAATTTGGAACTTCTCCTTGGGCTTGCCTTCAGAGCCAGTAGAATACTCATTCAAGTATCAATATTGACACAAAATCAGGATGTAATTTTTTAAAGTATTTTTAACTCCTGCCCTTTAGGAGTAAATGTGATTTTTTTGAAAATCGATTTGTTGAATACCAATTGGTGAATCAAGTGGAAAGGCAGGTAAGTAATTTCACTTTGGGTTGAAGATGACAGTCTTACATGTATTCAAATCTGGCTATGAAAGCCATCCAAAAGAGGAAGTACAAAAATGTTTGGAATGATAGCAGCTTCCTTGGCTCTTTATGATTCCAAGGACTTTTTTATTTTTCTCTTTTGCCTTTGCTATACAAAAAGTAAGTTAAGGTATCTGATGGAAATAAATATAACATAATTAAATAAACAAAGGGAATAAAGGCAAAAGATACCCCTCAGAAATACAAGCGTTCCTAAACACTGACCTTGCTTCTGAGCGTATCAGTAGCCAAACATTAATGAAACAGAAACTTAATTGCTCAGGAGAAGCAGAGCTTTTTCTGGCACTAAGATGGGAGAGAAATTCTTCCAGGGAGCCCTGTAGGATGGAATGCTCAATTGCATTCTTGTGAAAAATAAAACTGAGATTAGGATGGTTCTACTGATGACTTCTTATCACATCCTTTACTATACGATGAGAGCAGGTGCCAACATGCAACTCAGTACAAGGAAATCTATAGGGGCAAAGCCGTACAACCTAAGGATTCAGCCTTCTGGTCCAATGTGGCCAGAAATAAAATTTGAAATATTTAGGAGAATGAGTAGATCTCAAAGCCTTTAGACAACCCTCTATTACTGGTTTCCCTCCTGTGACTGAGAGTCCAGTTGACCAGTAGAGATTAATAGTTGTTATCTTTGCCTAGAGTTTGAAGTAGAATTTGATTATTCTTCATTGCCAGGAAAGGGCAGTGACATGAGCTTTAACAACAGTTCATGGTAGGAGTACAGACTGCGTCCTATGACTGAGGGATCTGCCTCAGATCAAGGGGAAAATCTGGAAGACTCGTCTAACAAAGTGTAAAACTAAGGCTTTATAAGTTGAAGGGGATTGACTCCTAATGAACTGCCAGTGAAAACAAAAATCAACATCTCAGATAACAGAAATCGGAATCACTATAATGCTTCACCAACAATGTTCAGTTTACAATTTTTAATGACAAATAAACAGGAGACTCCCAGTTTCTAGTCTAGCATGTAAGGAGGTTGACAGTCATCACTCCATTCTAACAACAAGTAAAAAGCTGAACAAACTAAAAAATCAACAATTATTAGGTCTTTCAGAGAGGTGAGGTCACAGGGCAAACTACTGGCTCCGAAGTTAGAGAGACAGGCAGATAGAATCACAACTTTCCAGAGCAGAAACCCACAAGCAGAAACCTCTGGGGAACCAGTGCCAGGAGTAAGGAAAACCTGCACTGTAATTGACAAAGTGCTGGAAGCTCAGGGTGGACAAGTGTGAGAGAGAAAAAAAACCCAGTAGGACCCAGTTATCAAGCCCCGCCCCAGCATAAACACACACACTTTTGTGAAATCTTACCTCCAGGAGCTCAACCAAGTTCTTACAGTAAATATTGGAGAAAAATCCCTTCATCCTTTCAAGAAGGGTAGGATAAAAGTAATTTTTAAATATACCAAAACGTTCTATTCTTCTTAATAAGGCTTGCCCTCAGGAGAAACTCTTTTACCAGAGCTTACATTGCATAGGTTTTTCTCACAGCCTAACTGACCAAAGGGAAGGGAAATACCCAGCTCTAGCCACTCTAGCTGTTCCACCTAAGGGGAAGGAAGGGGCAGACTAAGAAGCACTTGTGAAGTTCACAGTCCAAAGACACAGGCTCACTAAAAGACTGAGACTTAATAATAACCTACCCAAGTGAGAAGGAACCAGAAAACCAACTCTGGTAATATGATAAAACAAGGCTCTTTAACACTCCCCCAAAAATCACACCAGCTCACCAGCAGTGATCCAAACCAAGAAAAAAAAAAAAAAAAACCCTGATTTACTTGAAAAAGAATTCAGGAGGTTAGTTATTAAGCTAATTGGGGAGGCACCAGAGAAAGGTGAAGCCCAATGCAAGAAAATCCAAAAAACAATACAAGAAGTGAAGGGAGAAATATTCAAGGAAATTGACAGCTTAAAGAAAAAACACTTAAAACTTCAGGAAACATTGGACATACTTATAAAAGTGCATCATGCTGTGGAAAGTCTCAGCAATAGAACGAAACAAGCAGAAGAAAGAAATTCAGAGCTTGAAGACAGGTGTTCGAATTAACCCAATCCAACAAAGAGTAAGAAAATATGAACAAAGCCTCCAAGGAGGCTGGGATTATGCTAAACAACCAAACTTAAGAATAATCAGTGTTCCTGAGGAAGAAGAGAAATCTAAAGGTTTGGAAACTATATTGGGGGAATAATTGAGGAAAACTTTCCTGGCCTTACTAGAGACCTAGACATCCAAATACGAGAAGCACAAAGAACACCTGGGAAATTCATTGCAAAAAGCATCACCAGGTAACCTATAAAGGAAACCCTAATACAAAAATATGAGGTAGCCTATAAAGGAAAACCTATCAGTATTAACAGCAGATACTCCACAAGCTAGAAGGGATTGGGGCCATATCTTCAGCCTCCTCAAACAGAACAATTATCAGTCAAGAATTTTGTATCCAGTGAAACTAAGCATCATATACGAAGGAAAGATACAGTCTTTTTCAGACAAACAAATGCTGAGAAAATTCACCACTACCAAGCCACCACTATAAGAACTGCTCAAAGGAGCTCTAAATCTTAAATCAAATCCTGGAAACACATTAAAACAGAACCTCTTTAAGGCATAAATCTCACAGGACCTATTAAAACACACACACACACACACACACAATTTGAAAAGCAGAAACAAAAAACCAAGGTACACAGGCAACAAATAGCACAAGGAATGGAATGTACCTCACATCTCGATACTAACATTGAATGTACATGGTCTAAATGCTCCACTTAAAAGATACAGAACTGCAGAATGGATAAGAATTCACCAACCAACTATCTGCTGCCTTCAGGAGACTCACCTAACACATAAGGACTCACATACACTTAAAGTAAAGGGGCAGGAAAAGGCATTTCACGCAAACAGACACCAAAAGCAAGGAGGGAGCTATTCTTACATCAGACAAAACAAACTTCCAAAGCAACAGCAGTTAAAAAAGACAAAGAGAGACACTATATAATGGTAAAAGGCCTCGTCCAACAGGAAAACATCACAATCCTAAGCATATATTCACCTAACACTGGAGCTCCCAAATTTATAAAACAGTTACTCATAGACGTTAAGAAATGAGATAGACAGCAACACAATAATAGTGGGGGACTTCAGTACTCCACTGACAGCACTAGACAGGTCATCAAGACAGAAAGTCAACAAAGAAACAATGGATTTAAACTATACCTGGGTACAGATGGACTTAACAGATATATACAGAACATCCCATCCAACAACTGCAGAATACACATTCTATTAAAGAGTGCATGTAACTTTCTCCAAGATAGACCATATCATAGGTCACAAAGTGAGCCTCAATAGATTTAAGAAAATTGAAATTATATTAAGCACCTTCTCAGACCACAGTAGAATAAAACTGGAAATCTATTCCAAAGGAGCATTCAAAACCATGCAAATACATAGAAGTTATATATCCTTCTTTTGAATGATCATTGGGTCAAAAACAAAATCAAGATGGAAATTTAAAAATTCTTTAAACTGAATCACAATAGTGACACAACCTATCAAAACCTCTGGGATACAGCAAAGGAGGTGCTAAGAGGCAAGTTCATATCCCTAAACACCTACATCAAAAAGACTGAAGAACACAAACTGACATTCTAAGGTCATGCCTCAATGAACTAGAGAAACAAACCAAACCAAACCCAGCAGGCAAAAGGAAATAACCAAGATCAGAGCAGAACTAAATAAAATTGAAACAAAAATAAATAAATAAAAGATAAATGAAACAAAAAGCTGGTTCTTGGAAAACATAAGTAAAATTAATAGACTGTTTACCAAGATTAACCAAGAAAAGAAGGGAGAAAATCCAAATAACCTCAATAAGAAACCAAACAGAAGATATTACAACAGACACCGCAGAAATACAAAAATCATTCAAGGCTACTATGAACAACACCTTTGCGCATTTAAACTAGAAAACCTAGAAGAGATGGATACATTCCTGAAAAATACAACTTCTCGCTTAAATCAGGAAGAATTAGATACTCTGAACAGACCAATAACAAACAACAAGATTAAAAAATTACCAACAAAAAAAGTCTAGGACCAGACAGATCCATAGAAGAATTCTACCAGACATTCAAAGAAGAATTGGTACCAACCCTTTTGACACCAAAACAGGATAGTACTGGTGTAAAAATAGGCACGTAGACCACTGGAACAGAATATA